GAGGAAAACACTTTACTTCAGGACCATGGTAACAATAGTGACGAGGTAGAAAATGACTGTTGTTAAATTAAACGGCTAACTCCCTCTGTTAGCTAAAGGCTAACTGAGAGATTGTTGTTGTTGTTGTTGTTGTTGTTGTTGTTGTTGTATCATGGTCAGGTCAGGTTTGTTCACTGGAGTTCAGAGGTCACTCTAATGTGATGTCACGATGGGATTTTTCTCAGAAATGGTTTCTATTTATTCCATTATAAAAACAATTTTCTCAGAAATGGTTTCTATTTATTCTCTAAACATCTCAGACTAAAACATTCTTATAAGAAACAAATGCCGTGAAAATCAAGTCTTTGTGACAATTCATGGTGTTATTTAAATATTTATTTAACTTTTCTGATATAAAACTAATGTGACTTTAACCAAAAATGTCTTGTTTGAATATCTGACCATAAACTGCAGTAGTTGAAGCTGCTTTTATTTTAGTGAAACTAAATTGAAGATTTGTTTTTTCTTTCGTTTCCAAATGTATGAAATATGTTTGTTTATTTTATTTTAGTCCTTTACTGTTACTGTTACATATCCCCACTCTCTGGTCTCATGATTTTTATTTTAATTTTTTTAGTTAAATGCTGACTCAGCGAAGCCGCTGAGACAAATCACACTTTACAAATAGACGTGACTCGTCTTGACATACGGCGTGAGGACACAACCCGTCACTGGGTTTTTGTCACTCGCTCAGTGATATCAAACTGGGACATGGTGTCTCGTGAACTGCAGCCTCAGTCCTTTTTTCTTCATCTGTTCTGTAAATGTTGCATGAACTTACTGTAGCTCTGAGTTGAGTTCAAACAACAACGACGTGGCTCAAGGGCTGGTGACAGGGCTGTTTAATGGCCTGTGCGTTTTTGTTGTTATAGAATCAAACATTAGTGCAGGCAAATTAATGGATGTAAAAATAGATGAAGACCGAGGCTCGCAGTACGACCAGGAAACATTATCCAAACAAAAGACGGGATTCACTCTGGTAATGACGGTCGTAACTGTTTTGTTTTTGCACTTTTGGTTCAGCTGTGAGCTGTCGGCGTTTGGCGAGGAGTCAGATGAAATGAAAACATTAAGAAGTTTCTTAGTTGCTGAAAACTTAAATGTGTGGAAGAACGTGTGTTTTTATGGGACTAAAGTAACATGTAGGGATTCTGGAACTGGACATCTATTTTTGATATAATCACACACACACATATATATATATACAGTATACAGAGCTGTGCTAGTGTAAAGCAGCGTCATCCTTCAGCTCAAACCCTCCTCATTCTCTACACACTGTTCTGTTCTGGACTTCAGCTGTAAATCTTTCATGTGGCAGTTTTTTTTATAAATACACACTGCAGACGGAAATCAAAAACACACTGAATAAGACATGCTGCAGCAGGAACACACAGTAAATACAGAAAACACACACACACACACAGACACAACAACAGCAGCAGATGACACAACACAGACAGTATGGAAGCAGAGACGGAGACAGAGACAGAGACAGAGACGGAGACGGAGACAGAGACAGAGACGGAGACAGAGACGGAGACAGAGACAGAGATGGAGACAGAGACGGAGACAGAGACAGAGATGGAGACAGAGACGGAGACAGAGATGGAGACAGAGACAGAGACGGAGACGGAGACAGAGACAGAGACAGAGACAGAGACAGAGACGGAGACGGAGACAGAGACAGAGACGGAGACAGAGTCAGAGACAGAGACGGTGACAGAGACAGAGACAGAGACGGAGATGTTTGTAACGAAGCAGAGGAAACAGAAGCTGCACAGACGGAGGAGCAGCTGCTCACGTCTCACCTGATTAGTAACTGGAGAGGACATTTGTGTTGAACCCTGGGGTCAACCCCCCCCACTCCACTGAACACACACACACACACACACATAAAATAGAGAGCGCTGAAAGTTGGTCTCTGTGTTCAAAACAATCTGTGTCTACGGGTCACAGACCACCACCACAGACCACCACCACAGACTGTCTGTGGTGGTGGTCTGTGGTCACACGGTCATCACCACAGACACCTGCAGCGTCTGTGGTGGTGGTCTGTGGTGGTGGTCTGTGGTCACACAGCAGTCATGGAGCTTAGATCATAACGTTAGTAGACAGCCAGCAGAGGTCAGTCAGGGGACAGCCAGCAGAGGGGGGTGTTCCTCAGTGAGGGCAGGGAGGGAGGTTGGTTGTGCCCACCTTGGTAGTCACTGTGAGGAGGGGCTTCCCTTCTGATGACGCCTGACTCGGTATCTCCTTCAGGACCATGGCAACAGTCTTATCTGCAGCCCTAGAGTCTTTCCCCTACAACAGTGAGATCAACAACGACGGGTGTCAGGACAGATGCTTGGTGTCTCCGCCCCCCCTCCCCCATCTTACAGTACACACTTTACTGTTGGATGATGGAAATACTACAGTACAATCTGTCCGACAACAGTACATCAACCACAAGACCATGACGATGAGTCACTACACCATGATGACGATGTGAGTTTTTCTTACACGACTCCACGACCGTCAGACTGTCATGAAGAACAGACGGCTGTTTTTAAGACACTGTTTTATTGAAGACAGTTTGTCCAGGGGACGATGAAACTAAAATGATTGATTTGTTTTAGGATTCTTGGTTTTTTCAGTATCGGTGTGTTTCCTCAGAGCTGAGTCTCATCCACTCAGTTAGTTTGTGTTACATTTTTGGTCAGAAATGTTTTCTCTTAGTAAAACTATCAAAGTATGGAGGAAGTTGTTGTTAAAGTTGTTAATGTTGACGTTCAGTGGTTCAGTGGTTCAGTGGTTCAGTGGTTCAGTGGTTTGATCCTGTTGATGTTTGAAACATTTATCAGCTTTTCAAAAAGTCTCTCTACGTTAATTATCGATCCGTGTTATAGAAGTTTTTGCACATATTTGTTGCCATTGAACCAAATATGACGTAGTGTGAACAAACAGCCTCATAAAGAGAGAGATTTTAATAAAAAACCTCACAAACAATAATGAAATAAATTGAAAGTATTTCCTGCGAGGACTGAAGCGTCTCTCATTAGTTGAACTTCACGGTTCTTCTTCACAGTCACGTTCTCCCACCAGGAGTTAAACCATCACCCACACTCTCTGAAGCTGAAGCCTGCAGACGTACAACAGTATAAATGTGGTCGTTCTATTCACTGTGGAAGTTTCATACAAACGGCAGAGACGAAAGTCTGTGAGACAAAGACAGTCATTTACAACAGATAAGGCCTCAAATATATATATATATATATATTTGTTACCACTGCATCTTTAAAGTGAGTAAATTCTTGAGCCAACAGGAAGTGCTCAGACTCTGACACAGAGCCAATCATGAGCTGCCTTTTTCATGAGGTTGAAGTCGATCCAAAACAAACCCAAATGTTTGTTTTTCTATTTCTTATTTTTTCCCTGAATGGCTGGAATGAAGTTTCCAGTTGAGCAGAACCGAATGTTCCTGCTGCGCCGTGTGTTCAGGTACTGTTGGAGCCAACAGTTCCAGGGATCAGTTGGAGACAACAGTTCCAGGGATAGGTGGGAGCCAACAGTTCCAGGGATAGGTGGGAGCCAACAGTTCCGGGGACCGGTGGGAGCCAACAGTTCCAGGGATCAGTTGGAGCCAACAGTTCCAGGGATCAGTTGGAGCCAGCAGTTCCAGGGATCGGCTGGAGACAACAGTTCCAGGGATCGGCTGGAGACAACAGTTCCAGGGATCGGCTGGAGACAACAGTTCCAGGGATAGGTGGGAGCCAACAGTTCCAGGGATCAGTTGGAGCCAACAGTTCCAGGGATCGGTTCCAGCAGGCAGACAGTCAGTGTGTGTGCCAGTTTTCCTGCTTGTTTTCAGGGTCAGCGTCTTTATGCTAAACTGTCTCCATATTATTTTTATACTTGTGGCTGCAGAGTCGGCAGCTGCTGGGAAACGTGATGCACTTTTAAACTTAGCTGTTCTGGAAAAAACTCCAAAACAAAACAAAACAAAAGCCACAAGGAAAAAAAAAACACTCAAACTTTTTGATTGGAATCCAGAAAAATAAACATCAGCTCTGAGAACAGTATAGACGGCATTTACATAGAACTGATGTTGTTTGTTGTTTATATATATATTTATACACTATATAATTGTCCTAGTTGATTCCTCATTTTTGTTTATTTTTATTGTTGGGGCCGTGGAGGTGTTCAGTAGAGGTAGCAGTCGTCCCAGTGTCAGACTGAAGAATAATAATAATCATCATTAAACAGAGGAGATCGTGTCCCGTGCTCTGGCAGCCTGTGTCTGACCAAGAACCAAAGTGCCACTGATTCTGGGTCAGTTGTAAATCACTGGCGTTTTTCACTGATGGGTCAAAGGCAGACGCTCCCTAACCTGATTTACAGAGCACTAAAACCTGCAGGAGATTAAGATATTCTCTGACACAAGCACTAAAACCTGCAGGAGATTAAGATTCTCTGACACAACAACAACAACGAGCAGAACCGACATGAACACGTCAGGTCCTCAGGATCACAGACCAGCACTGACGCTGCCTCCCATCTATTTTCACTGACTTTTTTAATGACTTCAAATTCAAAGCTGGAGATGAACTTTAGGTTTTCTTTTTGCCAAAGAAGTGAGTGTACTGTGTTTCTGAGAGAGTGATGTAAATCTGGAGAGGATTATTTCAGACGCTGACTTCAAGTTTTTGTCATGTTGCTCTGAGGCTGAAGCAACGATGTGGAAACCTGAGTGATGGAAGAGGAATTATCATCCCGGCTCTGACTTACTGTTTTCTTTTTGTTTTTTTTAAATAGCTGCGTTCACAGCGTCACACAGTGAAACATCCAGAGCTTAGAAGCTAACGAGGGAAAATAATGATCAAATATTTATACATATATTTATATTTATCTACTGTATATGTGAATATATCTTATTATTCACCTCATACTGTAGACTTCAAACAGAACACTGTTTATTTGACACTTTCTTTTTTAAATCTCTGGAATTGTCTTTGCTGTGAGGTCGTTGAGGTCATCACTGATGAACGAATCGTTTCAATAAGATCAATAAACTGTGACTTTAATTGATTCTCTAAAGGAAAAGAACAGCAAAAACAATGACTCCACACAGAAAAACAAAACTTATAACTCACGATTTGAGGCTTTTAGATGAAACTAAGACTAAATCTATTCAAACTGACACTGATTATAATTGAATGTTAGAGTTGAATCATGTCTATTTTCTATTATCTTTCTTTTATGTCGGCGCTCATCGTCGTTTGTTTAGATTTTGTTTGTTTTCCATCAGTTTCTTTATCAGAAATGGAGATTAGAGCAGGATTGATTTATTCTGGAGATAAATGTGACGCACACACACGACCACACAATCTGTCTCGAACTGCAAACTGGCCTCGGGTGATGAGGAGTGAGATGATGTTTTTATTACGCCACAGTTTCTCTGTTTTTCACAGTAGTTTTTTTATAGTGATGTAATGAAATAATCTGTCATTTAATTTACATCAGAAATGATCATGAGAAGAAGGACGATACAAACAGAGGGAGAAACGTTTGAACTTAGAGTGACGTCAGGATTCTGAGGGTAGAGAAACGACTGTCGCCTCCAGACGACAAAACCTTCTGGTCGTTTATTTGACTAAACTGATCAGAACAGTTTTGCCAAAAACAGACGGTCAAAGCCAGTATCAGAGCCAGTGTGGTCTGACTGGCACAGACCGACTCCATCACAGACACACCTGCCTACTGACATGCTAATGTTTACAGATGAGCGTTCAGACTGGACGGTGATTCTGTGCTCCCTGTTCCAGGTCTCCTCACCAGTTCATGGCTGATTGAACTGATGAGCTGAGCTAACGGCTGTAAACGTTGAACCCGACCTTAAATTTTATGAACGTCGTTTCAGCCGAGGCAGCAATTTTCCTCCTTCATTTTCACTTTATTTTCTATAATAAATGTTAATGACAGCCAGTAAATAAATCTACAGACGAAACCTGTGTCTCCAACCTCCTGTTCTTCACAGCAAAGACAAGAGATCGATGACGGTCATTAAGAAAGTTACCTAAGAAATTTAAATTATGTCTCACACACACACACACACACTCACACACACTCACCAGAGTGTGTCTCTGGAGGTAACATTCATCACCACCTTGTGTCCTCAGAGCGACTGACAAACAGTTGGAAAATATGACTTGAAGTCGTTGCCAACATAATAAACGTGTCACAGCCGTCGACGTGATCAAACTCTCAACGGTTTGTAACAACATCCAGATTCAAGACGGTTCTTTGGCAGAGTTTAGGTCAGAGTTGAAGAGTCTGTGACCACGCAGGAGAATAAAACTCAAATCTTCAGAATTTAAACACACACACACACTAATGGTCATTTATGACAAATGAGGTTTCGTTTTTTACTTCCACACCTTTGGTCTGTACAGAACTGGACCAAGGTTTTAATAATGCCCACTAGTATACAATGTCTTCTCGACTTGTCAGAAATAAGTGTGTTAAAGGTCAGGAGGTCAGCGGGACATCGACCGAAGATCACATAACACGCACGCGAAGACAGTTCCCTCTCAGTCATTGACTGAAAAACAGAGGCTGTCATTAAAACAACAGCCGTCTGACAAACCACAACATGATACTCTGTAGTAAAGTGTGTGTGTGTGTGTGTGTGTGTGTGTGTGTGTGTGTGTGTGTGTGTGTGTGCTGCAGTCCCTGTAGATGCTGCAGGCAGGTTGAAACACGACACGTGAAACATAGGCTTCACCTTATGAAACATTAACACAGGATCACGGAGCATGTAAAAGGCATGTCGGTCTGACCTGAGCCCCTCCCCCATCAGACCTGAGCCCCTCCTCCATCTGACCTGAGCCCCTCCCCCATCAGACCTGAGCCCCTCCCCCATCTGACCTCAGCCCCTCCTCCATCTGACCTGAGCCCCTCCTCCATCAGACCTCAGCCCCTCCTCCATCACCGCCTCATCAATATGTATGAGCTCTGGACAGTGTTTCCACTTGACTGAAATCCATGTGAAATGACGAGGGGGAAACCAGTGGTGAAGTGTCTGAGTGGGTGTGAGAAGTGGCCTGAGGTATGAATTACAGACGGCTCCGGGGTCAGGTGACCAACGCTGAGGCTCTGAAGAACAGATGAACCTGAAGAAATGACCGAGACGACGGCTGCGTTTACGTCAACTCTGACGCGTTTACGTCAACTCTGAGTTATGGACGATTTGCTGATGTGCAGCTCTGGTCCCTGGCTGCTCAAAGGCACAAACCAAAGGCACAAACCTTCACCACCCAAGTTAA